TCACCCACACAAAAAAGGCTTCGAATGGTCCACAATGTTCCAGAAGATTCGAGAGTGTTCTGGAACGTTCCACAATGATCTCGGATGTTCTGGGATGTAGCCGAACGTTACAGACTATTCCCGAACATTGCACAACATTCCAGAATGTTCCGGGATATTCTGGAATGTTGTGGAATGCTCTCGAATGTTCTGGACTGTTCTAGAAATTTTTAGAGGACGAAAATTCCAGCCCTTATATCTTCAAAAGCACGCCCTTCAGTTAGAAATGCGAATCTTCTTCATGAATGGGGCACAGAAGTTTACCACACCATATAACTCCCTTGGTCGTACCGGGACTCGTTTCTGAATTTTAGCGGCACGCACATTGTACAGTTATTTTTATAATATATATTGATTATGTATTTGTATCGTATTATGTAAACTACTTCTAAAAGTCAGATATACCATTTATACACACACCAGATCTCTAATCTAAAGAATATTAGTTAACTTTATAGTATGTCAGTGAAACTTAAAAGTGACTTGTATCAAAGTCTGCTATAAATTCGAGAGATAAAAATTGTTATAGAAATGTTAGCATTAGATGTGTCAGTATAACTTTAAGAAGCATCTGCCTTATTATTTAACCGTAATTTTAACTTTGCTGGCAATGAAGGACGAAACCGGAGGGAACAAGATAAGACAACTAGGGGGCTTATAAGATTTGTTTACATTTAGACTGAACAAATATAAAATATTGTAATTCATTTCACTACAAAAATTTCAAATTCAAGTGTGTTCATATGTACAGATATATTATTATAATATGTAATATTTTTACCCGAAAGGGGCATTGGACCAGAAGGGCTATTAGTCTCAAAAAATAGTATTTTGCATCGTTTCACTATAAATGGTCGTTTCAGTTTATAAGGTATTTCTCCCGCTTTCCTAGCGTGCCTTCGTGGTGTAGTGGTTCTGCACGCTGGGCCGGTATTCCAGAGGTCCGTGGTTCGATTCCCGGCGAAGGCGTTTGCTATTTTTCATCTTGCCTCTTTCTAAAAAAATATCTTAATGTCTCTACAGTGGCGCCCGAACTAAAAGGCTGTTGGATGAGGATTTTCCACACCCAGGATTTTGCGATTGGGTCCCCTAAAAAACCCCAGTCGCCCTTTAAAAAGGGGAGTATATAAGGTATTTCTCCCGCTTTCCTAGCGTGCCTTCATGGTGTAGTGGTTCTGCACGCTGGGCCGGTATTCCAGAGGTCCGTGGTTCGATTCCCGGGGAAGGCATTTGCTATTTTTCATCTTTCCTGCTTCCAAAAATATACCTAATGTCTCTACAAGTTTTCAAATTGTTGCCATATATTATTATTATCTCCCAGTATTATATTAAAAAAAATTAAGAAATGAAGAATCTGCATGAATGTATGTATGCTTCTCGCACTGTGAAAAATTAACGGTACCTAGAGTTATCAAAATCTAAATAATGTAGTTATCCACCCGCATATGGGCGTCTGGAAGCCCGAATTTGGAATTTGTTTTATTGTCTATTTCATATTTTGCAAAAATTTAACGAATTTTTGATTAACAAACTCAATATATTTCAAAACGAGCAATGGCAACACTGCACGAAAAATCCTTTTTATCTCTAGCGTACAAGACTGTCTATCGGAAATTTTAAAGATATGCTGTTTTTAAATATTTTTAGCCCAAAGGCATATTAGCGCAAATGGTCTCGGAACGTGTATGTTGTGTAAATGAAAAAAAAGTCTCTTTGAACGTAATATAAAATCTGAAAGCTTTCAGTAATTTTTAAGGATTTATTTGTGCCCTTTGTACCACGAATATAAAAATATCGTAAAAGAAAGAAAATGTATTTTGAAGAGATCATTTTGTGCAATAGACTGTGCAAAAAAAAACAAAAGTCTCTTGCAAAAATTGAAATCAAGACTTCAAGCTGCTGAATTACTTGAAAAATTGGAAACCAGTAGGGTAGATTCCTCTACGAATGCTACTGAGGAAACTTTTCTGAGAATTCCTTTCGCGGATCATCGATAAGTCAATAGAATTTCTCCCTTTCCCTCTCTGCAGAAATATTTCTTCTTATTGCTTTCCTAACTCAAGTGTACGCCTATGGAATTTGCCTATATGGAAGTTACTAAAGCCTGATGATGTCTACCCTCTTTCCAATTTCTTTTCTCTGTTTTAGCCTCTGAGAAATTCTCATTCGCCTCGACTGGACCATATTATCAGTATATATTTTTAAGATATTATTTCATAAAGCCAGACATGTCTCGATTGGACGATATTCGTAGCATACATGCCAAGCAAAGTTTATAAGAAATATGACAAGTTTTAAAAGCAAAATGTTATATAAAGTTGGATTTGTGTGATGAGGTTTTTGGATATATGCAAGAACAAATAAGCCTTATTACAATAAAAAACACAATTAACGTGAAAGTTGGTTGTTCAGTAAGAGAGGAATCTTAAAAACAAATTGATTTTCTTGATAAAAACGCATTACATTCTCTGTGGCCACTCCCACCTTTTTTTCTTTTTTATCATATTATGTGCATTAAATTAATATTAAATAACCCAACTTAGTTTATAGTTACGTTGATTAAATGGTAACAGACCTAAAACTTTTCATATAATTCTTGGTATTATCTAAATGCTATTCTTTCTACCCAAACAAGCAAGAATATTAAGCCCAAAGTAGAAACAAAAAAATTTTTGAAACATTTATAATTATTGGTATTATCTAAATGTTATTCTTTCTACCCAAACAAGCACGATTATTAAGACCAAAGTAGAAACAAATAAATTTTTGAAACATTTTGAATTAAATAATTCCTATGAATATCATTAAGAATGAAGGAAGTTCTCATGGCTAATTTCGTTTCATGGCCTACCTGCGTCCGAATGATTTCAACAACTTAACCCAGGCAGTTTCATCCAAATTCGATGAAAAGGCTAGTTGCGTAATTGGCCTCATACATCTCATAAATGTGAATCGGTTTCCTTTAAAAAGTCCTTTGCAAAGCTCATGCACAAGACTCATTATTCTCTTGCTCTTTGCTTTAATTAAACATTCCAGCCTAACACAATACTCTGTTTAGGAATAGTAGTTACTAGTTCATTAGTCTCCTATATTAAATCTCCTCTTAATCAGGTACTCTTTCCAAAATTTTAATTATTAAAAATAGGATTACCACTGAAAAATACATAAAATGTGGTATTCCAATATTCACAACCATTACTATGAATTAAAATTGCTGCAAAATTTGAGTTTTGGATTCTTATTATATTAATAGATCCGTCTCTTTTTTAAAGCTGATAAGTATTAAGCACATACTATATCTAATACAATTATACAATTCATCCTTACAAATTGATGTTTATTCATCACCGTCGATGGTTATCCTGAAATCAAACATTAAACTAATATAGTTACTGATAGAAAAACCTTTTTGTCATGTTACCTTTGAGATACCTTTGAGAGTTTACCTCATACCTTTGAGAGTTTATTGTAGTGCCTCTTTCCAGGAAGTCCACCAAAATTACACCTTTTCTGCCCCAAAAAACAGTCGCCATCATCTTCCTTGCCGACATTGTTTGCATGCATTTCTTGGGTTTTTGGGGAGAACTTGTGTGCCCCCACTGCATTGATTGCAATTTCGTTTCACAGTTCACATGTTTCACCCATGTTTCGTCACCAGTAACGATGCGATCGAGTAAAGAGTCACCATCCTTATGGTAAGCGTCCAAAAAGTTCAACGCTGCAGCCATTCGCTGATTTTTGTGGTCCTCTGTCAAGATTTTTGGAATCCATCTTGCACAAAACTTGTGGTAACCAAGCTTTTCGCTGATGATTTCGTGCAACAAACTTCGCGAAATTTGTGGAAAACTCAAAGAAAGTTCCGTTATTGTGAAATTTCGATTTTCACGGACTTTAGCATCGACTTTTTCGAGAAGTTCGGCGGTCACTATGCTGGGTCTCCCACTTCGATCTTCGTCGTGAACATTGGTTCGGCCATTTTGAAATCTTATGACCCACTGACGCACTCCACCTTCAGTGATAATGTTGTCCCCATACACTTCACGAAGCTGCCGATAGATTTCTATCGGTTTACAGTTTTTTGCAGTCAGAAACCTTATTACTGAGCGCACCTCGCAGCTCGCGGGATTTTCAATTAACGCAGACATTTCAAACCGTCACAGTATCTGAACGGAGCACAGCACGAACCTCTCACTAGCACGGCTAGATGCAGACTGAGCTGCAACGCTCTGACCCCAAGATGGCCGCGCTAGCCCCGCCCCTAGCGGACACAGACGGAAACGTAATCTACTTCCTGGATGGCCCTCGTATAACGTGAAAAACTGAAAAGAGTAATGAATAATTTACTATTTATTTCTAGTTATGGTTAATTCAACAGAAGCTAATAATCTTGTAGAGGCATTAGTTTTTCGAAGCAGAAAACATGAAAATTTGCAATGCCTGTTTGAGTAAGACCAGCTACAACTCAACTCTGTTTAAGTTTATGTTTTGAAAATAATTTCTATCCTTTCTGTAAGAATAACTGCTTCTAAAGTTTTCGGAAATATCTGCAATTAAAGTGTTTTTTCGTATTAAATCCATAGTTATTTTCGAATCCTTTAAAATACTGGCGCCCAACGTGGGGCAGGACTATGGATAATTTAAAACGGGAAAGAACACAATTACGGCGATATTTCACAATTTCTTTGAAAGAAGTGGACACTGTTCTAAAAGATGAAGCAGTAAGTAACATGGATTTGATATCTGTATTTAACATATTTAATAATAAAGCTGACAGATTGTTTCAGTTAGATGAAAAAGTTAAAGTAAAATGGCTAGAAATGGAAAATTTTAATGAAGATGAATTTTCTAATGATATGGACTTTAATGGAAAGCTATCGAAATCAGTGGGTTGCTATGAAAACAAAAGTGGATGTTTATGTTATCAACCACTGAAAGAAAGGGCGATATTTCCAGTGTAGTAAATGAAACCAAGCGAAAATTTCCGTCTTCCTAAGTTAGAATTGAAACGTTTTGATGGTAATATTAAAAACTGGCTAGGATTCTGGGGAAAATTTAAAAAGATTCATGATGATGATAGAATTGATGCAGATGATAAATTTCAGTATCTTTTACAAGCAACTGAAGAAGGTTCATCGGCTAGAGATTTAGTTGCAAGTTTTCCATCATTTGGCGAAAACTATTACAATGCTACAGAACAGCTGAAATCTCGTTTTGCTAAAGATGAACTATTAATTCAAATTTATGTTCGTGAACTTTTAAATCTAGTTTTAACGCAAGCGAAAAGTGGCGAAAATTTTACTTTGCGGATTCTATATGATAAAATTAGCGACTCAGGCTGCGAGCATTAGAGACTTTAGGGGTAACGTCTGAAAAACATGAAGCAATGTTATATCCTTCAGTGGAATCAGCTCTGCCAGAGAGCTCTTATCAAGGAGTGGGAACGCACTGACACAACGTGTAGAGAAATAAAGACAAGATGAACATGTTAGGAAATTTATTAGAATTTCTTCGTTTGGAAGTCGAAAGTGAAGAGCGATTACAACTTGCTCGATCAGGGTTTGCGAATGATCAATTTGAAAAATTTAAAACGAAAGAAAAAATTCTTACTGCAGCTTGTATTGTATCTAATAAAAAGCAAAGAGCTGAGAAAAATAACAAACATTGTTTATTTTGTAATAAGTCATTTCATAATACCTCAGAATGTTTTAAGGCTGCCGAGATGTCATTGGAGGCGAAAAGGGAAACATTGAAGAAAAGGGAAGCTTGCTTTTGTTTCGTCTATTTGAAACCAGGACACAATTCTAAGATCTGCAAAGCTTATTTAAAGTGTATTATATGCAAGAAAAAACACCATAGCATTATGTGTCCAAATATAAATCAATCAAAACAAGACAAACAATCTGAATCGGATGCACAGGTTCTTTTGTCACCAAAAAAATCTCCAACTTTATTGTTACTTGTATTGGTGAAAATCATCAATGGTGACAAGTCCGGAGTCGTTCGTGGATTATTTGATACTGGTGCTCAGAGATCTTTCACACGAAAAGATATTGCGGAGAAACTGGGATTGAAACCTGTAGATCAAAAAATGATGAGTCATGGACTTTTGGGGGGCAGTGAAACTAAACAAGAGTCTCATAATGTCTACAATATTACATTACAAAGCTTGTGTTCAAATTTCAAGTACACTATTTCAGTTTTGGACGAAAAGCAGATATGTGGTGCGAATTCCACGTGTAGAGGATCCTGATAATTTATCCAATTTTGAAAAAGAAAAATATATAAGTGATACAGGAGAATATGTGCCTGAAATAGGCTTATTAATAGGAGCTGATTATCTTGGCGCATTATTGACTGGGAGAATTGAGCCCATTGATAATAATTTGGTAGCTATTAAAACAAAACTTGGATGGACGCTTCAAGGTAAACAAAGAAACTACTCAAAATCTTTGGAGAGTATTGTATATGCTAATAATTTAGATTTGACGGAAGAGCCTAGATGTCATCGGTATAAGATGTCCTGCAGAAGTAAAGTCAAGGCAGGTAACCGATGAAGAAACGGTAGATTTTTTCCGTAAAACTATTAAAAGAAACGAAGACAAAAGATATGAAGTATGTTTGCCATGGGAAAGTGGACGTCTAGAATTAGAAACGAATAAGGAATTAGCCACTAAACGGTTAATGTAAACTACCAAAAATCTCATACGATCTGGACATTTAAGAGAATACGATGATGTATTTAATGAGAGGGTTCGGGATGGAATTATTGAAATTGTAGATAAAGACGAGAAAAGGGGACATTATTTACCACACCACCCTGTGATAAAAACTGGTGCAACAACAACAAAAATTCGTCCAGTTTTTTGATGCGTCGACGAAAGATTCCAAAGGAAATTCCTTGAATAATTGTTTAGAAAAGGGGCTAAATTTATTAGAACTGGTAGCCAAATTGATAATGCAGTTTCGAAAAAACGCAATTGGCGTAACGTCAGACATCAAAAAAGCATTTTTTTTACAAATCAGTTTGAATCGAAGGGATGAAAGTGTTACGCTCTACAGCTAATGCGTCAGATTCCAGTGAAGATGATGATTCATCACCCAAAATCCCAGATTTTGTTACTAGAGCTGGTCGACGTGTTAAAATTCCCAATAGACTTGATTTATAACTTTTGTTGCAATTTGTAGGTATCTTACAAATTGCAAGGTGGGAGGTTGTTTGAGTAAGACAAGCTACAACTCAACTCTGTTTAAGTTTATGTTTTGAAAATAAGTTCTATCGTTTCTGTAAGAATAACTGCTTCTAAAATTTTTGGAAATATCTGAAATTAAAGTGTTTTTTCATATTAAATCCATAGTTATTTTCGAATCCTTTAAAAATGCCCTCGCCAGGATTCGAACTCCGGACATTCCCACTGCTAGCCGGACGTGCTTTCCAATTACATGCTCCAGTTACAAAGGCAAGTTGTAAGGAAGTAGAAAACATTTTACAACTCTATCAATCTCTATATGGAGTTTGGACTTGGTTTATGCTACCGAGAGTTTACCTACATAAACTTATTTTACCTATAAAACTTAGTTTACCTATATTAATCTATACAGAGTTTGGTTTTCTTCAGTAGCATAAACCAAGTCCAAACTATATGCAGATATAAAGCGAATTGTCGTTGTGTCTAAAATTAACTGCAAAGTCTTAAAAAGATTTAACAAACCTTTTTATTAAATCAGAATTTGAACTTAAAACGCGCATCTCCGGCTTATAGGTCAATCACCACTTGTGGCGAGGTAACTTAAAGTAACAGTCAATTTCAAATTTAAAAATTATGACTAGTAACGAAGCACTACTGAATTGGTTTAATGTCAAATTGCCTCAAAACGTCTCCCCAGCGTAACAATTGAAATGTCAGCAACAAAAACGCAAATAGAGGCTTAAATGAGTTACTTAGCAACGTAGCCTCGAGAGGCAGAAACATTGTCTGTTTTACAATCCGAAAAACCTCAGCCGAAATACTCTTAATATGATTTGCATTCTGGTTGGGAAAAGGAAAGGAGAAGTGACAGTAAAGACCTAAATCATAAAATGATTGGTGAAGTTAACGTAAAAGAACTTTATATCTTTAGTTATTATTAGAATGTTAGCTATGTATACACGGACAAATACATAGCAGGACTTCGATCTTTAACGCCCGTAATATTCGTTTTACGTTATGTATCCTTCGACATTGTTCGTCTCAAAAGAAGCGTTTTATGTTGTGATTGTAACCTAATCGAACAAGCCCACGAATTTTATCATGTCAAGGAGCACAAGACTGAGTCTTTGGTTTTGAGCACTATATATGTAGCAGCAATACTTTGCTCAGCTGTATAAGTATTATAGAAATAATATTACACTTTTTCTTAAACATCGTTTCCCAATCTATCGTTTTACCGCATTAATCACTTGTAAATCACGTTCCCGACTCACCATTTCCGGCATGGATTGTTTGGGGGGAAGAGGGGGAATGAATCGAAGTACATGTTTAATATTGTGTTACTTTCTCAGTGGACTATTTTTGCAACGTAGTAAGGCAGTAAAGCTTCGTACACAGCCCTCCGCTCCAAATTCACGTTACTAGCTTCATTCCCGAATGTTATTTCCTCGCAAGTTGTAATAAGTTTATCATTTTTATTTTTAATTTTTTGTTCCTGTTGAGTTTCTAGGATTTTTGGATTATTTTTTCAGTTTGTGATCTATAAGATACATGGAGGAAGAAGATAAAATGCGCAAGAGATGGCTCTAGGAATGATTGAGACTTACGAAACTTTACAAAAATGTTAGGCGGTTGGTTCTCTGTGAGTGAAGTGGAAATGACGCAGTGTGAAAAACATTTCGGTCACAAAAGTCGTGTTTTCAAGTTATTCGAATTTTCGACGAGAAGCAAAGAAAATGTATAACTTTCTGTTTTTAAAAGTTAGATCTTGAATGTAATGTATTCATATTGTAAATAATAGATATTATTATATACTTATAATACGTTAGTTGAGTGGCTATATACTGTTTTAAAATGTCAAACTAACAGAATGGTAACGACAGTGAGACGACTTATTGTCTCATCTTAATTTCTAACTACAGTAATGAAAACTCAAAGTGAAGTTTTAAAATAAACTTATTTGTTAATACATGAACTAGATAGTTACATAAAAGTATAACAGAAATCAGCTCCGTTCTTTGAGAGAAATTCAGAACAGATCAAATAAATAAGAAATAAAAAATAATATTACGCACGTAACGAAGCAACCACAGCTTGATGAAGCCAATTACTTAATTTAAGCAGCAAGGAAGTGTAAAAGAGTTATGATCAGAATAGTCGCCAAAAGCACTCTCACGCTGCTCTTATTTGTATTTTAACTACTTCGAATTCTGAGGAGAGATAACAGAAGGTGTGAGTGTGTGATTATGGTTAAACTTCGACGGCTATCTGCCTAAGGTGGGGGATACCTTCGTGAAGGACTTTCTAAGGGAAACTGGCTAATATACACGTTACACATGGGGAAAACCACGAAAACGCCCATGCAGCCAGCCCGTTCGTGGGATTCGAACCTCGGACCGAACTACCAGTGTTCAGCGACTTTACCGCTCGGCCGCTGGTGGGCGATAATAGAAGGAGAAGTAAAAGTACAAGTAATACAAAAAACTCAGTTAACTATATAATTACTCGCAATGTATAACAGTTTCTCGGATTTTTTATTTTCCCGCATTTATTATTATTTCCCTCAGTTCTGCTGGAAAATGATAGATTGAGTTTCTGTTGATTTATGAAGGTATTCATAACTGACAACCTAAGCACCTGAATTTCATATTAAACAAATAGACCTCATGGAAATTAAAGTTCCGAAAAAAGAGGAAAAAATGTAAGTATTTATCAAAAATTCTCTTTTAAAATGGAGATAATGTTTCATTTTATTCTGTTATTATTTCTAGTCTTTAGCACCATTTTAATGTTCACAACATCACATGTTATTATTTCTACTCTTTAACACCATTTTAATGTTCAACCATTTTAATGTTCACAACATAGTAGCTATTGAGATTTAAGTATATATTACAAGGTCAAACTCGCGATCAGCTTAAATAACAACAGACTGATACAAATAAACTGCTGCATGGACGGTTTTGAGTATTTTATCTCTTCTCATAACGTTAATGGGTTCTATTTGGCATAGGTTTAAGTGTTTGCATTCATCTTTACAACAAAGAGTGTTTTAACCTTGCTACCTTTTATCTTTGTCGGTTAAGAATACAAATACTTTATATTCCGTAGTATAGTTTCCAACTATTTACGCTAAGCTTAATTTAAAATGCTTTTGATGT